GCAGAAAGGTCTGTTTTTTATATACTCTGGCTAACTCCACACAAATGTCACCATCAGCTCATTGTTACCCAGAAAAAACACATACGGCTAGGTGAGCAGGTGATGGGATACAGTAACACAGCCAAATTGCAGCCGTGGGGAAGTTGCAAAAGCTCTGTAAATTCAGGTCAGCATCTCTTGACTGAGTACCCATCAACTGTCTTTGGCTCAGACAGCATCAACAGGCTCTCAGTATGCTCCTCCTAAGGAAGGAGGCCCATCAAGGAAGGAGGCAGCAGTGCCACCAGGAATATGTAGTACATCTTACAGAACACTACTCATGGTGATACTTTTCCCTTAATCCCCGCTTACTTTCAAGTAAACACCTCAGTAAAACAGGTAAACTATGACCAGTGGTCAATCTAAGAAATGGACAGTCACAACGGGAAAAGCATGAAAAACAGCAATATACTTAAATTCCAAAACCTTGCTTTAATCGAGTATTTCTCTTTTAACAAATGACATTTTGCTAGCCATAACCTTATAACAAATTCCACATTCAACTCTTTTTTTTTAACTTAATTTATGCTAATCACCAAATCAAGCCTCAGTTTTACATCTGATCTTAAGAACAAATTTTATTTTTCAGCACTTATACTGGAAGAGGTAGCAGGTATGTAGAGGATATCAGGATCCAGTTCCCCACTGGAAGAAAAGGTCTCTCCCATGCTACTGGTGCACTTAAAGCACTGACGACATAAAAACAAATGCTTGTTTGGTCTTGTTCTGAAACTGAAGTCTTGCCCTCCGGCCAAGAACCAAATGTGCTACCAGATGAATACAGAGACACTGACGAGCAACACGAAAGCATAAGGCTGCCAAGACTGCACTGTATCACCTTCATATCTAAGGCTTTTGTCTCAGTTAGGAAAAAAAAAAAAGAAAAAAGTCATAAACAAGCAATCCTTTGTCTGGAAACACATCACTATTTGTGACTGTACCTCAAGGAGCTTAGTATTACATGAGTATCAGATCTTTCAGCAGAAACCAGACACATCCACTTTTTGCTATAAGTGTTTTCAGTGCATTTTCCATCAAAATGCAATTAATTGTCTGTGAGGAATTTTGTTTTCTTTTTGGGTTTGAATAGAAAGCTTTATTGCCTTTAATTTAGCTTGAATGGCATGGACAGGCAGAAGTTAGACTTGAAAATAAAGGTCAGTCAAATTGTTAAATGTCAATGTGAAAAACACTAATAAATATTTCTGGGACATTCTTAATATTTTAGCTGAGGAAGAGATGATCTACGCTGAATAAAATATCCTATACATTAGGATACATTAGAGTTAGAAAGAGATAAAAGAGTACTTACATGCACTTATGAGAGAAGGTAATTACAGTAATATAATTTCTGGCACTGAATAATAAATTAAGCTTCAGTTTCAATATGGGATACCCATTTTTACATAGTTATCAAAGACAAAGACTTCTTGTACAGGTTGGGTTAGAAAAGGAACTGTGTCAGCAAAATCATTATATGAGTTGAACTGCATCTACATTTGAGGCTTGGTTGAAAGAAATGCTTTGAAAAATTAAACACCTGCAACCAATATTGCTAACAGAAAAATTTCTATTGCAGATATGGCATAAAAGTCGTAGTGCCTAAAAGTTCATGGCCCTCTGTAAGCAGCGTCCCATAAGAAGCAGAGCATTCCCATAGCTGGAGTGCAAAGTTGAAATTGCAAAGGCAGTGATCTGAGTCTCAAGTCTACCATGCTTTCTCATAGATACCTTCCAAGTTACAAGATCATGAAAACCACAGTCAGATTCCACAGTCAGTCTAGTAATATGTACCTCATGGGAGAAGTGCTACTGAAGCCAACTAAAGCTCAGGGATGATCATTTTCTAAAACTTGGCAAGATTTATCTCTGAAGTTAGCAGATCCTCTCTCCCTTCAAAAAAAACCAAAATCAAAGCCAACCCAACACCAACCAAACCACCTCTAAACTAAGAATAAGGAAAAGGACTAAAAAGAAACCCTCTAAAATCCTAACAGGTTAAGAAAATACTGCTAACAGGAAAAATCTAGAACGTAAAGGATATGTTTTAGACAAATAAATTAGTGTTTTCCCATTACCATTACTATTCAAATGAAAAGATTGATAATGCTTTATATTAGTTCTTTTGAAATTCTAAGCTTTTTTTTGTTTTTCTTCCTTGAAAGGATCTTGGGTGAAAAGACATTATTTCCAAGGACAAAACTGACCTGTCTTCAAACTGCAGACATTACTTCAGTGATAAAATGTAACAGTTCTCTACTACTGCAAAGCCAGTAAAGAGCTTTACCACATTTAGGTCCGTGGAGAAAAATGCATTTCATGGGTATAATAATCTAGATTTTGGACAGCCTGCATTTGAAAAACAAGGTTTACTTGAGGCAGGAAACACACAAGTGCCTTATATAGGTTTATATAAAGTGCCTGTTGTGCTATTTGTAAAGAATATATCTTTGGAGTCCAATCATGAAGAAATGCTTAGACAGAAATGACTATACGACTCTACCTATGTAAGCTGTCAGGGTAAGGCTGACTTACATGGAAAATAAATTGTTCAGATCCAGCTTAAAGTTTTGTTTCTGAAACATCCAAAGCACTCAATGGTATTTGTTTAAAAAACACGCATACTTTTATTCAAAGAAAATGCAGCTTTCCAGGGGTAGTTCAGCTGTTCCTTGGTAGAAGATACCGATGGAGCAGGTACAGAAGGTTGCCTGCAACTGGCTACTTTTTCTAAATCTGGGCCAAGGCTCTTCCAGATCACATGAAACATGCTTCTGTTTTAGCTCATATGCAGCAGCCAGAAGTAACTCTTTACTTTCTGTAGTGATTAAGTACTCCTGTCTGCTACACTCAGTTGTACTACTTAGCTCAACTGAGAAACTAAAGGGGCTTTTTTTTTTTTTTTTTCCATTTAAGGGTAAAATCACATTTGGACAATCACTAGTCCCCTATCCCTCCTGTGTAAACATCAAGGCCTGCCAGGTTATTTCCTTGCTTAAAAGTCCATATGCCACTTGAAGAAAATTTGTCTCAGAAAAGTGGATATCTATGTCTAGGAGGAAAGATTCACATTAGGCCAAGTGGAGCCTGAGAGGAAAATGGGCATGTTTTAAACTGATGGGTGGAACAACATATGACCAGACACATGGGCCTCTCACTGTAACTCAGAAGAATGGGATTGTTCATGGTGGATGGTTTCACAGGGAATTCACATGGATGCTGTGGGAGTGTCAGCCCAAGGGCGCCCTGATGGAGGGAGATTGCACCCAACCTCACAGAGCCACCCTAAACTTTTTTTGAGAAGAGAAGGCTGCATGGAGACTTCATAACAGCCTTCCAGTATCTGAAGGGGGCCGTATAAGGATGCTGGAGAGGGACTCTTCATTAGGGACTGTAGTGACAGGACAAGGGGTAATGAGTTAAAACTTAAACAGGGGAAGTTTAGGTTGGATATAAGGAAAAAGCTTTTTACTGTAAGGGTTGTGAGGCACTGGAATGGGCTGCCCAGGGAGGTTGTGAATGCTCCATCCCTGGCAGTGTTCAAGACCAAGTTGGACAGAGCCTTGGATGACATGGTTTAGTGTGAGATGTCCCTGCCCATGGCAGGGGGGATGGAACTAGATGATCTTAAGGTCCTTTCCAACCCTAACTATTCTATGATTCTATGATTCTAATCTGAGCAAGAACATGTCTGTTCCTACTTCCCCACACAGTAGCACTAAGGTGTTATTTAGGCACATGTGGCATCACTCCTTAGGACACGTATATCGAAAGTCCTTGGTATCATAAGTGGCATCTCTTTTTTTCCCCTCCTGCTTGGATTTTATTATTCGGACCAATTCCACCCTCACCCCAGTACACCTCTCCTTCCTCCTGCCCCAGGCCGCTCGGCTACGCGTTGGGAGTGCAGCTGGGCCAGTCGCGATTTTGCGACGAGAACCCGCGGGGATCTCGGGGTGAGCGGCAGCTTGTTCAGGCGGCGACCTGAGCTGCCTTCATCGTACTGCCCAGCCCTGCTCCAAGGCACCCGGAATAATCTAAACCGGGCCGGGGGTACCGGCAGGGGCGGCCGGCTCGCCGGCTCCCTCTAGGTATCGCTGTCTCGGCAAAGGAGGAGGAGGAGGAGGGTTTTATTTCATTCTATTCCCCTCTCTCTTTTCCAGCCAGTAAAGCATCTGCCCCTTTGAACCTCCGGTACACGCCTGCAGCTGCACACACACAGGCACGCACACACACGCACGCACACACACAGTCGGCGGCTATAAATAAGTTACGAGCCGGGCAGAGGGCGAGCAGTGCACGCATCCCGGCGGGCCGAGACAGCGGGGACCACCCCGCTGAGCCTCCCGGGCACCTCAGCTCCTCTCAGTCCTGCCGGCGCCGTACCCTCGGGTGCTATGGCTTGCGTGGAGCGCTGCTGCCGCTGCTGCGCGGACAGCCGGAGGCACAGCAGCATCCTCTACAGCATCCTCAGAAGCGAGGAGCGGGCGGCACCGCTGCCGGGGCCGGGGCAGAGGCAGAGGCGAGGGCAGGGGCAGGCGTCCCGCAGCTGCCCATGCGGGTTGAGGCGGCGGGTGGCCCTGAGGAGCCCGCAGGTAGCCTGCAAGGCGGCCTCGGGGGTGCTGGTGAAAACGCTGCGCTTCGTCCAGAACGTGCCCTGCTTCCAGGAGCTGCCCCTGGAGGAGCAGCTCCTGCTGGTCCGCAGCTGCTGGGCTCCCTTGCTGCTCCTGGGACTGGCGCAGGACCGGGTGCACTTGGAGACGGTGGAGAGCGCGGAGCCCAGCATGCTGCAGAGGATCCTCACCACCCGGCGGCAGGGCGAGCAGCCCCCGCCGCGGGGACAGGCGCCGGGCCAGCCGCACCACGGTCCGCACCTCCCCTCGACCGGCGAGATTCAGGCTATCAAGGGCTTCCTGGCCAAGTGCTGGAGCCTGGATATCAGCACCAAAGAGTACGCTTACCTCAAGGGGACGGTGCTTTTCAACCCGGGTGAGTGACCAGCCGCGGTGGTGGGGCGGCGGGGGGGTCTCTCTCCTCTCCCTCAGGGAACCGGTGGGGGTAGCGGGGAGAGGGATGATGGGGAGAACCAGTCTGTGTCCCCATTGTAGCCGGGGGGGACGGGACGGGGGGGACGGGACGGGACCCGGGGCTCTTCCTCAGCGGCATAGACGTGTCGGGGGAGGGGTTCGCGGAGCAAGGTTTCACACACTGTCCTATGCAGGGAGCCGTTCGCGGCCGCGCCGCCTGCCGTTACAGGGTGGAGGGGGTCCGGCTGCTGCTGGATGGGGTGTCCCAGGGGCTGGTGCCTTCCACAGAGCCTTTTTGCGAGCTAAACAAACCCGCGGCAGTCGCCTAGGGGTTAGAAACCAGCAGCACTTCCCGGTTTGTTTCGGAGCCGCGCGCCTGGCGGGGTCTCCTTGGGGGGCGGCGGCTGGAGCGGGTCACCGGCCCCCAGGGTCGAGCGGGCTTCCCCGGCAGAAAGCAAGAGAAGTCCCAGGGCCTCCAGGAACAAAGTGCTGCTTCTGCTTTGTGTGTAGTATTTACGATGTGGAGTTCCTCCCCCAACCCCCCATCTCTCTTTGTGGAGACTTCCGTAAAGGGTGTTCTAACGAGTGATTGATTGCCATGTCGTGCCTTACCTACAAGATAGCTGACGGGCTGTATGTGGCGCTCCCCAAGTATGCACTACCGTGTAGGGGTGGGACGGGGCTCTTCCTGCACCCCCACTGTGAAACTGTTAGGCTGAATGGGGAGATCCTGTACTCCCCGTCCTTCAGTATCTTTACTGCGATTCACCAGGAAACTGTCCTACGTTGGAGTTAATGCTTCTTGCCACTTGTAACCTGGAGATATTCAGAAGCAGTTGTCAGAAGATGCTTACATGTGAATAATGCACTTTGTTGAAGTGAACAAGTTAATGAGTTATTTTTATTGCCTTCCCCACTGTTTACAGATTGCATTTGCCACTATAAAGGTGTTTTGGAGAGCATTCTGCAATTAAAGGTTTTGCTTTATCAGTTAATTTATTCAACACTTAAGAGAATGTATGCAAACATATTTCAAGTTTGTGCAGTGAAGAACAGTACTGAGTGTCTGGAACACCTACATAAGATTCTAAACTGCCCTATGAAATTTGAAATGTTGATTCTTCATACAAGAAGTCCTCTAGCAACCGCATTTGCTTCAGTCCTTGAGTGATAAATTCAATGTGTAAGCTGTTAGCAGTTTTTCAGTAAAAATAATATTGTTTTACAAACAAAACCTATGTAAATGAAATAATTTATTCTTCTTTTCAGATCTACCTGGACTGCAGTGTACACAGTATATTGAAGGACTGCAGAGGGAAGCACAACAAGCTCTAAATGAACATGTCAGACTCATTCACAGAGGTGATGAAGCCAGATTTGCCAAGCTGAATGTTGTTCTATCTTTGCTGAGATCTATTAATGCTAATGTGATTGCTGAATTATTCTTTAGGCCCATCATTGGGGCAGTGAACATGGATGACATGCTTTTGGAAATGCTTTGTGCAAAATTATAAGGACCCGTAAAATAATGAAAATAAGTCCATTGCGAAGGAAGCCCTAGAGCAGAATAGTGTAAAGTACTGTAAATAAACTAACTTATGGTTTTTACATAGACAGTATTTTTGTATTCCATAATAAAATATTCTTCAAGTTCTGAAATTAATTTTTATTGAACACAGTGGTTTTAGAATAAGACTGCAGTCATCAAAACAAGCTTTAAAGTTGTGGACAATGTTCATATCCAAAGTCGACTGGCTCTTCTTGTACCATGTTTCTGAATAAAGGTCACAGTTACTATATTATACTTTCAAGGTGAGTAATCCCTGCTTTTTAAAAGTAAGCGGCAGTTTAGGTTTACATTTTAAAAGTAGTTGACATACAGAAAGGGGCAATGAACAAGCCATTTACTTTGCATATTTCAGTAACATTAGAAGAGCCACTGTTCTACTCCTAGTTCAAGTACTGTCTCTATCAAAGGCTTTTTGCAGTCAGTGAACTGCTTCTATTGACTTCAACAGAGTTGAAGTATTTGAATAATATTAAAGAAACTATTCCCCTAATGTTTTCTTCCATATGGGGAAGATGCGTTAGGAATATTTTGAGTCTTAAAGTAGCTTGGTCAACTCTGATACTTACAGGAAAACATAGCATTCAATGCGTGTTGGGCTCAAGGAGAACGAAGTAGCTCTATTCCCCAAAAGAATAAAAAAAAGAAAAGCACCTCTAAAAATATCTGAACAGCAAATGCTGAATAGGGTTAGGAGAACTACTGGTGTCGACTCCACACTTTGCTTTTCACCTTGGTAATTCCTAGCTGGAATTTCCACAGCTGGGTTTTTCAGACTACTTTTTCCAAATACAAAATTACTGCTGAGACATAGTATACCACTGGCACATCTGTCAGAATTTGTTCACCTAGCATGACTATGTTTAAGCATCAAGCTTCTACATTTATTTGCTTTTGTCTTGAGCTTGATCCTTTCTCCTAAGCAGTTGTGTTTTTGTTGAAAAAACTCTTCTAAGCATAAAATCAGAAAGGGAAAATCAGTTATTTAAGGGGTACTTTTTTCATGGTTTTCCTTTCTCTGCATGCAATTTTCTCTCCTTTTCCATGGGGAATATTGTTAAAGAAAGGAGAAAGAAGTGTGAAAGTGTTCCCAAAGAATCAGGTATTGGTAATTCTATGTATTATTTACATATACATTTACCACTATCAGTAAGAGTGTTTTTAAAAACACTATAAAGTTGAAGCAGTTACTCTCCTTAATAAGAGATGGGGGGGTGGGATTGAGGAACAAGTTTGAAGATCTTTCTTTTGCTGCCATCTTGCACAGAGGATAATCACAGGTCCTACATTCAGCTAGGGGACTGGGGGGATTGTTGCTGTCTTGTGCCTACCCAGATATAAGTTACAGAAAATGGTAGCCAAAAATTTCTAGGAGAACAAGTTGATCCATAAGTACTGTCACTGAAGTTTGTATTGCTGTGTCAATAAGTACCTCATCATGGACTAGGATACTGTCACAGAGCAAACGAAACAAAGCAAGAAATGCACGTCCCATCTTAAAAAGTAATGGTGTAGTCTAAATGCACACTCTTCTGGTGCTCATTTAACTCTGGGTAAGGTTGTGTGCTCTGAGGAGCTCCCCAAAAATTCGAAAGAACACAAAGCATCTAAGTTCTCTTCACTACCAGTCCATGCTTCAGACACACTCAGCAGTCTTAGTTTTTATGTTATGTTGATGCTTTCTTATGTGTGTACAAAACATATAGCAAATATCATAGAATCATAGAATCACAGAATTGTTAGGGTTGGAAAGGACCTTAAGATCATCAAGTTCCAACCCTTGTGCCGTGGGCAGGGACACCTTACGCTAAATCATATCACCCAAGGCCTTGTCCAACCTGGCCTTGAACGCTGCCAGGGATGGAGCATTCACAACCTCCCTGGGGAACCTATTCCAGTGCCTCACCACCCTAACAGGAAAGAATTTCTTCCTTATATCCAATCTGAACTTCCCCTGTTTAACTCTTAACCCATTACCCCTTGTCCTATCACTACAGTCCCTAATGAATAGTCCATCCACAGAATCCCTTTAGCCCCCCTTCAGATACTGGAAGGCTGCTGTGAGGTCTCCACAGAGCCTTCTCTTCTCCAGGCTGAACAGCCCCAACTTCCTCAGCCTGTCTTCATACGGGAGGTGCTGAGGAAGTTGGGGCTGTTCAACCTGGAGAAATATAAACATACACATATATAAACATATATATACAGAGAATTATCTAGTGTGTATGTATAAATGTTCTGTGAGTTTTCAATAGCTTCTGAGCTTATCTAAGATCTCTGTAACATAAATATGGGTATATGTTTCCCTCCTTCACTGTAAACAGCATATGATCTTACAACAGTTATCTTTCAAGGATGCCTGACAAAGAAATCTCCAGCATATCATCAAGCATAAAGCGTGATGATAAAACATTTAAATGGTGGTTAGTGGCATATGATGAATCTTGGTAAGGACTAAAAAAAATTCAACAGCCTCAGACTAAAACAACTTCATCACCACTGAGAATTTGTTAATACACACACTACTGTTCAGACTTTTCTGCTGGATGGCAGAAGAGACTTGTTGGCAGCATTCCTAACAATTAGCTGTAATAGCCGAACCATGGTCACAGGCAAGGATTTTCAGCTGAACAGTCACCTTGAGACTGTTTGGATCTATTGTGCCACTAAAATACAAATGCTTTCATCACTCAGGTGGACCTGCTCACATCTCCAGGTTTGATATCTGAACAAATTCTGTATTCTGCTCAATTTTCTGAAGTTGTCATGAAAAATATTGCTTCCGTGCACAACAAATCCACCTTGAACTCACTATAACCCATTTCTCTTGGACCAGCAATACTGTTAGTCATGTTGCTGTTGTCTATTCAAATGGAAGCACCTGGAAACAATAAGTAGGAAATCTGAAAGGAAAAACTAATTTATCAAGGCTTTCCGCAGAGAACTGACAAAAAGAATTATCTCTTCATAGGTCAGATGAACAAGAATGACAAAACAAGAAATTAAGAAAGGACTTGTAGGAGGAGCCAAGCTGAGGATGAGGCGAACCAAGCAGGAATGGGAGAGAAGAGACCTGTATGGTTCTAGAACAGTGGGGAAAGGTCTGATTTTAGTGTGGGGCCAATGTGCCAAGAGCTGACTGGAAGCAGCTGGAAAGAGTATGTAACTCATAAGACAGGTCAGAGCTTGAGCAAAAGGTTCCTTGTGGGAGGACTCTGTATCAAGTCCAGGAAACATTGCACAGCAGAGAAGAACCTAGCCCAGAAGCTGACACAGAGGAGGACACAGGCATCCTCACCAACCTGTTAGGACTGGTTCTGTTCTCTCCTCCACTTGTGTCACTGCTGAAGAAGGGGCAACAAGTGGCAGCTATGCACGCATGAAAAGCAAGCTGCTCAGTCTTTGTGAGAACATGTTGATCACAGAATTTAGC